ACATAAACATATTTTACGCGTTGGTATACCACGTCAGCTGTTTTCCGTTAATTAACATGCCACGTAAGCCAAAATTTAACGGAGGGACAAAAAAGGGGCCGGATTTGTGAACAGTAAGGATCAAAAAGGGGATTTTTTCGGTATAGGGATTAAAAAGGGGCTTTTTCCTATAATCGAGGGACCAAAAATGGTATTTAACCTTTTTAGCATAAACCCAGCATCAACAAGGTAAAATTTTCCCTCTGGAATGATAAGCTTATCTTCTCTTTTTAATGCGTCCTTAATAATTCTAGAATCTGAGGCAATCCCTTCCCATCCTGTTAACACATAGGTGAACTTTAAGTCAAATGTACAGGCAGCTAAGACATTTTGGGTTGGATACTCTTTTCTACCACGATATTTAGGAGCATCTAAGGGTGAGACTTTTACACGAATGTGTGTTCCATCAATTGCACCTACACAATCCTTAAAGTATGGATAGAATCTACTACTTGACATTATCTCTACAGGGATTTGTGAACCATCTGGTTGTTTAATAAATTTTTCTTCAACTGCTATTATAGCTCTCAACACACTATGAAAATGTTGACTAGCAGTTTCTCCAGAACGTCGAAACCAAAATTGGATTGAACGGTTTTTGGCATTCTTAGCTAGAATATAAAGAGTTTTAGCTACTTGTTCCTCAATAGTTGCTCTCCTTGTGAGTTGGAGACCTCCCTCCCTTTCAAGTATGTCACAGAATTGTAAAAAAGCTCTAGGACTCATCCCTATGATAACGGCTTCTATCACTCCCCACAATTTTGTTCATTATTTCATCTCGAACTCGTTCTCTCTCATTAATTATATTATCATCAAGAAGCTTTCTTTTTGGTCGACTTCGAAGAAACCACCAATAAACAACTAAGCATATTACATGAGCAATGGCCTTTCTGCGCATGTCTCTCATGGCATCTATCTATATTTATAAAATACAAATTAAAATTCGATATTATGATATATTTTACATCCAGTTGTATAACTAAAAAGTAAAACAATAATCAAAGTCTCATTGTACAAATATAAATATAAAATTCTATGTCATGATAAGGATCAAATTCAATTGTATAATTAAGGTTCATAAGCATAAAAATAAAAATAAAAAAAATGAATCCTTATAACTAGCAATTTTTAAATAAGAATTACCTTAATCAGTACTTGAAGGCCAGCAAATCAAACCCCTATCTCAGCTTTGTCCTTGAAAATCTAACTGTAACCAAGCAAGAGAACAATAACTCACTTAAAACACAGCAACATGGTAAAATATAACCAAGCTCCGAAAGGTCATCTACAAGAATACAAACAACATGGTAGAATATAACCAAAATAATAAAAATTATTATTTTAGATTTTAAAATTCTGCTCCTATAATTTAATGGCACAAGTTAGAGAAAATTAAAAAAAAAATGTTCTAACTGCAGAAGGTGAAACAGCAAAACGTTCTTTGAAATGCAATAGAAGGAAAAGAACAAAGTTATGCACATCTTTTACATACAGACCAAACTAGTTAACCATATTAGATTTATCAAATTAAGATTGCAGTCCAAACCCTCCCATTCCAGTCAGGAAAAGAAGTTCAGAACCTTCCCTTCTGGAAAAGAACAGAAGTTCAGAACTTAACATTGCAACTAGAAAACTTGAAAAGAGAGAAGTTTAGAACCTCCCACTCCACCCAGAAAAAGAAGTAGAGATTCTGCAAGTTCAGCCAGAAGAAGCTCAAATTCTCCCATTCCATCCAGAAAAAGAAGTTTGGATTCAGATCTTCCCATTCCAGCCAGGGAAAGAAGTTCAAAACCTCCCATTAGAAGTGAGTACCAGCATGCTCACTATCATGATGACAATCCGCTCTTTGTCCATCCATGGATGGGTATTGTCACCAACATATATTCCAACCCGAGTCGAAGATGGAAGGGCTGTAGGGGAAAGTGGAAAAAACTCAAGGAGGAGTTCACAAGGCAAGGGTTTAATCCCTTGAAGGTTCACCCTCTCTGGAATAGAAAAGGGCATTCAGGGTTTGCAATAGTGGAATTTAATAAAGAATGGGATTGTCTTAAGAATGTTATTGTGTTCGAGAAAAGCTTTGAAAGTAACCACTATGGCAAGAGGGATTATTATTCATCAAGACATCAAGGAGAAAAGTTGTATGGTTGGATTGCACGTGATGATGATTACTATTCTAGAAATTTGATCGGTGATTATCTTTGTAAACATAGAGATCTAAAAACCGTCTCTGGAAAAGAGGCTGAAGATGCACAGAAAGCTATAGTTCTGGTGTCAAGTTTAACCAATACCTTGAAGACCAAAAATATGCACCTTAAGGAAATTAAGAGTAAGTATATTGAGACAAGTGTGGCTGTTAATAAGGTGATTGATGAAAAGGAGAAGATCATCATATTTTATAATGAAGGTATACTAAAATTTTCTTACTTTCTCTATTTTGATGAATTAAATTATACTTTATATGAGCCTAGCAGCTTCCTGCATCTAACTTTTTTTTTTTGGTCAGAGAAAAAAAGAATGCGCCAGGTTTCTCATGATCATTTTAAGAAAATATCCTTGGAGAATGACAAAGTTACAATGGATCTCAAAAAATAGAGAAACAAAAATATGATAAAGAACAAGGAGTATACTTACTGGTTTATGGCCTCTGCTGAATCCTCTGGTTTTGGTGCTGTTGCCGGCAAGAAGGAGAATCGAGAGTTTAGGTGTTGTTGCCGCAAGAAGGAGAAGGATATAATAAAAAAAATTAAGGTTAATTTTGTAATTACATTTACCATAATCTAAACAATCACTCAACTCCCTCCCAAACCCCCCAAATCGGGCGGATTGCAAATCTGCAGATTTGAGGGTGGTTAAAGGAAGTCCGAATCAGTCCATCTCCCTCCCCCTCTGCCTCTTTGGAAACCCAAACAGGAGGAAAGAGACAGCCCCCCCTCACTCCCCCTCCCTTGCCATCCATCCCCATCCCTTCCCCTCCCTCTCCGTCCGACACCTCCAATCCAAACAATACCTTAAAGCTAGAAACATGCCAAGAAGAAGGAAGAGAGCTGCAGAACAGGAAACAAAAAAAGGGAAAGATTTCCTGCACCAGCCTGCACCAGCCTACGCCCCTGCCCTGCACCCTCTGCTGCGCCCTTACTCCCTGCTCTGCGCCTGCACCAAGCCCGCGCCCAGATCCCCTTTGTTCTGCGCCGTTGACCCTGCTTGCTGCAATCCTCTGCACCAACCCCTGCACCAACCCTGCACCAGCCTGTGCCCCTGCACAGCCCCTGCACCAGCCCTGCACTTTCCTCTTTGCGCCCCTGCACGCCTGCACCAGCCTCACGCCCCTGCACCAACCTCGTGCCCCTTCAGCAACCTCGCGCCCTGCACCGGGCTTGCGTCACGTCCCCTGCTGGCTGCAATCCTCTGCACCAGCCCAGCCCGCGTCTGCTTAAGAAATAAACAAAAAAAAGAAGGGCTTTCGTCCTTTGCTTTTCCTTGCAGAAATCAGCAGCTGGGGGTTCAAAATTTTGGCGATGCAATGTTAAAAAAAAAAAGAAAAAAGAAAGGGGTAGGATTGGAATGCTAGAAAGAGGAAGATCTCTGCCTGGGTATAAATAGAGAGTTTTAGGTTAGGAAGAGGGGGGTTCTCTTGGTTGTTCTTTTTGGTCTGAGTTTGGGATTGCCGGAGGTGATAGCAAGAGAAAGGAGAAAACCGAGCTGATTCCGGCAAGATTCCGGCAAGATTCCGGCAATATTTCAGCCTCCTTTTGCTAGGTAATTCCTGAACAGAGGAGCCTTCTGGGAATGATGGGGAAGGAGACGATAGGAGCCTGGTCCCGTGGGTGGGATCCCTCCCATCTGATCTGGATCCATCTTACCCAAAAGGCTCTGCCGTGGATGTTTTTCTTATTTTGGTTGATGTTTCTGCATCTTTTTGTTTAATGTTCAAGCTTGTACATGTTCCGTTTGAAAATCAATGAAAATCAAAAAAAAAAAATATATATTGTTCAGTTTATTTTTTGATGAATGTGTTGATGAATGTGTTGCTGTTACTGGAAATTACATGAATTCTAGTTTTCCCGCTTTGGTTGCATGTTTGATCTTTCTTTTTATCTATTTTTATGCTTGCATCGTGTTTTTGGGTCGGGTCAGTCCGATTTAATCCAACAAAAAAAAAAAACTTAAAAGGTTAAAAAGTAAAAAAAAAAATCAGAAGTTATCTCTTATATTTCAATTTTGCACAATCCTTTCATGTTCAAGCACTTTAGTCCAAAAGTTTCAAACATTTTCAAATCAGTCCTTTATTTTTATTTTAATCAAATCAGTCCATTTAATTTTTATTTGTGTTTATTGTGCATGCATGTCTTTTATTTTGTCCATTTTAGTCCAAAAATTAAAAAATATTTCAATTTGGTTTATCCCTTTTTTTTTAAGTTTTCTTATTAAGACTTAAACATAAAGATAATAAATAAGTTGAATTAAAAACCCCAATGTTAAAGTATGCAACCGTGTTTAAACGGAGGATTGTGAGGTGCGCATATGCCCTTCCTCACTCCTAACCGAACCCCGAACCCCAATCTCTGCGCAGACCCATTTTAGGTGACTTGTCCCTCCTTATAATTTGGACGAGTGGCGACTCCCTTTTCTTTTATATTTTCACACTTAATCCCTTTTTAAGTGGTCATCAACAGATTGGCGACTCCACTGGGGACTGGATCCAGAATCTTTGGTTTTCATGTTCTGGATTCACGAGGGTCGAGCTAATACTTTAACTTTGGGGAAATTTTCAGCTTTTGATTTTCTTTGTTTGTTGAGTCTTTGTCATTTGTTGCATATGCTTGTTATGTGGTGCTTGTTATGTGGTGCTTGTTGCTTGTTTGCTTATTGTTTTGGTGGTTGCCTTTATTGTTCTTGCCTTTGAGTAATTATCTTGTCATATCATGACATGGATCATACCTTGCTCACATGTTCATGCATCATATCATCTCACATGCACATGCATCATTGATGTTACATGCTTATTCATCATGCATCATGCTTACATGCCTACTTGCTTGTGTGTGGATGTACTCACCTTTTACACTTGGCTATGGAGTACTTAGTGAGTTTCTTCCCTCTTGTGCGATTATTTATATCTTGTGGCATGCTAAGTGTTGGTTGCTTTGTGTTACTAACCTTTTGCATTTGGCATGAGAGTACTAGGTGAGTCCCTTCTTGCTGTGTAAATAGGTTTGTTTGTGGGTGTTATATTTGTTCAATGTTTTACATTTTTTTTACTTGTTGTTTGCCTTATTTGCTTGCTGTGAAATATATGTTGCTATTTGTGTGGTTGCTTTTAACGTCATGCCCCCTGCACACACTCACTCTCATTTTGCATTAGGTTCGTGTCTGAGGTGAACCCGACCTCTAGTTTGGAATTCTTATGAATCTGGCTTGGAAGAGCAATTCTTCTCACTTTGAGGAGTAAGATCGATTCTCGTTAGGTTGTTTCCATTGGTTAATACAACACCTGATGATGTAATATCATCCTGTGTATTAGCATTTGGAAATATCTCCCATGGATTCTGAAAAGATGAATGGTTGAGAAGGCCTAATGTCCTTGAGGAAAGCATGCAGTGAACTTAAAGAGAAACCACCCATAGGACTTGTCAGCCTAGAAGACCACCAGTGAGGTTAGGATTCCTTGTGTCTAGGTACACAAGGGGGCATTTTACATCTTACCTTACTTTCTACACTTGCAGGTATTCATTGAGTCAACCATGTCAAGTATCATGACATCCATCACGTTCATTCACGCACTTTGCCTTTCACTTTCTACTAAATACTACATGACACCATGCACTTTGGCATTTTCACTTTCTATTCCATACATCATTAAAAACAAAAAAAAAAAATTGCATAATTGTTTTACATGTCATCAACCTTTCACATGTCGTACGTTCATTACATTGCATTTTCCATCCCATGCATCACAAAATATGTTTTCATTTCACGTGACATTCTCCATTTCATTTTCATCTTGTATTTCACAAAATTTCAAAAAAAAAAAAAGAAAAAAAAAGAGAAAAAAAAATGAAATTTCATCCATGTTCATTACATTACATCTTCCATCTCATATAAAAAATTTCACAAAATATAAAAAAAAATCTCATCCACATGCATTTCCTATCTCAAGTTTTCATTTTAAGCATTACTACTTCCATCTCAAACTTCAAAAAAAAAAAATTTTTGAAAAAATTACATGGAAACAAAATTTCATCCATTTTCATTTTTCATCTCATATTCCTTTTCAAGTATTACTATCTCCATCTTAGATTTCTCATATTTCCCATGTTTCAAAAAAAAAAAAAAGTTGCATAAAAAATGAAAATCTCATCTATGCTTAGTTCACATCACATTTCCCATCCCATTTTGCATTACAGTCCATATTCAACCTTACATCACATCTTCCATCTCACATCAAATTGACATTCATCTCATGCTCATTTTCTCTTTTGAATAAAGTTGAATTTGGTCCTCATATTTTCTTGTTTTTCAATTAAGTCCTTCAAGTTATCACTTTCTACAAAAACAAAAAAAATTGTCCAAACTCTCTTTCAAAGAAAGTCTCACCCTCTTACATTTTCTACACGAAATTAACACTTGCATGTTTCAAATTGGCCTTACCTAATTAAATCCAAAGCATTTCACATTTTGTTAAAAAAAAAAAAGAATTTTTTTTTTTCAAACTTCATGACATTTACTCATTTCACCAAAAAAGGACTAAATTGAACTTCATCAAAATATGTAGACCAAATTTACATTGTATTACAAAATTTTCATCATCCTTCCATTTTCATTAATTCATACAAAAAAAAAAAAAACTTAGATCCAAAATTTGTTTCTTCAAGCATAAATTTTTTTTTTCAAATTCAATTCTTTTATTACTTTAGTTCACATTTTTTTTTTTATTGCCTTCAAAATTGCTCACAAGAAGAAAGTTTGTTTTATATGCTCGCAATTCTATAGTTGCTTAATCTAAATCACAAGTAATGACAAGTCCTCAACAAAGCTGGCAATGCAATGATCAAGTTCAAACTTGAGGCATTCTTGAAGTAATGATCTATGTTAGTTATCTTTGTTTTTCTATCATTTGTAGTATGTGTAAATCAAAACACATCATTGATTCTGCCCAAAATCATGGTTGGAGTTGAAAATGGCCTTAATTTCATCAAATTTTTCTATATGTTCTAAATGTTACTGTTAATTGAAGATGATGTCAAAAATTTCATTACACAACTTCCTTACTCATTTCTTATTTAAATAATTCTTTGCTTCATGATGGATTAAGTCTTTTCTTTCTAAGGATATGTTGATGATATCTAAATTCAAGGTCTATGATTTGGGCAATGATGCAAAAAAAAAAAAAAAAAGAAGTGAGAAAAGCCACAAAGGAGTTAAAAGGTGGAAAGGTTCAATGAAGAAAGGCCATGTTTCTTTTCCCAAACACAAATATCATCCCTAGCTACCCACTTTGAGCCAAAATAAAAGGCAAAGATCATGAATAAAAGCCAAATGATCATTTCTTTGATACCCACATCATGAACCC